TTATCACTTCAACCAAACTGCATAATTTTAAAAGCAACTAAATCTGTTGAACAGTAGACTAGATATGACCCAAAGGTTTCAATATTTAGTATATGGCCAAACAGCAGTACTGCCCTACTTATACTACATCAGCTGATTCACACCATGGCACCACTCAGGAAACAAGATGTCAACCCCTAGAAGCAGAATCTGCCTCCCAGGCTGAAGTTTAAATGAGTACGGAGCCCTCAAAACACAATAGGAAAAAGATCAAAATGAATGAACAAGCAAACAGAGTTTAAAGAGCAAGGAAGACTGCAGAACGTAGCAGCCATTCAAAATGCAGCTTGAAAACTGATCACCACTGAGTGCAAGTAATCTAACCTATTATGCAATGGGAGTTGTATGAAGTTCACTTCACTTGAGGAAACTGTGATTTGTGATCCAAGATAGCAGATGGAATCAGTAATAACTTGAACTTCTATAGATTAAACCCAAATTATCCATCTTCAAAGCACTTAATTGTATGAAAAAATTGTATTTTGGGCATGGTACAGCCTCCTGCTTACTGTATGCCACAATTTGGATGTGTGCAAGCCATTTTTTAAATTTCTAAACTCTTTGAAATTGGAGAATTCTGTCTTGTCCTTTTAAACTTTATCTCGAGATACTATTACACAATCCCAGAAATTCAGATTATTTACTTACACACAGCATTTTTGGTTTTATATATTTCTAGTAAGTTGTTTTGTATCAGGCAGGAGTGATGCAAACAGAGGTGCCCAACCTTTAGTTTCGGTGCATCCCCCACATGCCAAGTTGGGTAGGAATAAAAGTTTCCAAGCTATTTGGAAACAAATTTATTTATACATACATACAAACATGTATTTATAGGCCGCCTATAACTTCCAAGGCCTTCCTAGTTGGCTAAATGCCAACATGACCTATGAATTACACGTTTTTACAGTAAGATGGGGGTCCCTAGATGTTGAACTATTAACTGCTGCCATGGCTGCTGGTCAATAATAACGGAGGAGAATAAAATGGTGAGGAGGAAGATTATATAAGTTCCCTTGGGTTCCCTGCAAGAGGAAAAAGGCAGGATATAATGTAATGTAATAATAATAATGGAGTCCAACAATATATTGGAGGAGGAGGTAGGTTAGGAAAGGCTGACTAGATGTAGCAATACAGGAACTAACTGTTGAACGTAACTGCAATTAAAGGTTTTTGTTTGTTTTTTTAAATTCTGTACTTAAAAGGCAATTTGCATATAAACCCTATCTCTTAAATGAAGCCTCTAATTAATCCTGCCTATTTTTACACAGAAGTACATACTAACCTCCTTCACACACAAAAGCAGACTCAAACACCTAGCATGAAAGAAGCTTGTAAGAATAAATATTCAAGTATCAGTTTGCAACACGTGCTTTGGATCCATAAGTTCCCAAGTTCAACTTCTCATATCTCCAATTATAAAGGATCTACAAAAGCAAAGCTGAGTAAGACTTTTGCCTGAGGCCTTGGAGAGCCACTGCTAGTCAGAGTAGGCTATACTAGGCAAGATGAAGTAATTGTCTGTCTGCATGTAAAACGGCTTCCCATGGGTATAAAATACACATTTACAGATACATAATTTTATTATGGAAGACTCTAATCTCACTTTCAATTCTCTTTTACAGGTTACTCACAATTCAGAGAACCTTATTTACTGAAACACAAATCAAATGGCTACTGCTTGTATTGTTGCTGCAGTAGACCAAGAATTGTGTGACTTAACTGTGTACATAAGCAACACTTGTTAATTTTTAACTTCATATTTAGTTTGCATAACTTTACAAATCTGCACTAACTGCAACTTTCAAATACAGAAACTATGTGATTAACTGAAGGGGAAACAATCCAAGCACTTGGGAGAACTAACTCATCTTGAAGGAAATGAACTACATCATGCATCAGGCTATATTTGAGGAAATATCCACAGCACAGGTAGAATCCACAGGTAGCTTGTTTCAGAAGATTAATGCTAAATAATGCGCTAAGAACAATACATAAAAACCACATTATTTTTATGTTACACATAATTTTATCGTTATTTGTTTTTTGGCAACAGGCCAAGACCTTTTTATTTAAGTTATTTTAATTGTTATGGATTGTATTTATTGGGTTTTTATGCTTGCGCCGAGATGTTTCCGGATTTTTAATGACTAATTATATGATAGTTTATTTATTTTGTAAGCCGCCCCGAGACTTTTTGCAAATGGGGTGGCATAGAAATGGTCTAAATAAATAAACAAATAAATACCTTGTGTAATAGCTGTTTGCACTATTTCTTAATTAGGGCAGTTAGATCTGCATATGACTTAATCCAAAATTTCTAATCCACAGAACTACTGCTGAACAAATGATTTGGATTATCTTTGTTAGTCAAAATTATTTCTGATTATTTTTGCAAAGTATGTTTATTCAGAAGCAAGCTCAGGGGAACATGTAGCACAATCCTATACAAGTTTATTTGAAAATAATTTTTACTGTGTTCAATGGGATTCACTATTAGAAAAATATATACAGGATATACTCTTTACTAACTATAGTTTAAGAGACACCATCACATTTTAGACTTATGATTTGGAAAGCTTACAGCCTTTAAAAATGGTTGGACAGTTCTCCAATGCAGATCTATTTTACCACTGTAAACCACTTTGAAAGCATTTGTCAGTTGAGACATATGTACATCAGAGGACAGAATTCAATGGGATGCTTTTGCCCTGCTGATTCCCTTCCAAAAGCAGCAGATCACAAAAACTGTGTTGCTCAAGCAGGAACCCACTGCCTACACCAAAGAGATTTAGTGCTTCCTAGAAAAAGCCCCAAAATGAGTGGAAATGCTAGTTTCTGCTTGTTCGGGGTTGACCTGGAAGTGTTAAATTGATGTTGCGCAAGTGGTGGGGGCTGCTTGCACAACAGAATTGGCAGGACATAAAAGTATCGGGGGCGTAAGCACCCCACTGGATTCTGCCCAAATAAATACAGTGGTTATGACTTCACTGCTTCAGTAACATATATTTAACCCTTAACCATGCAGCTTCACAGTCTTAAGCTCAAAATTAAAACAACTGTTTTGCGATACATCATTAGAACAAAATAAACTTTTACACAAAGTAGGGGCAAAGCAATTTTCATCTTTAAATGACAAAGTTTTTTTTTTAAACCTGAACAACCTGAATTTTCTTGTTCAAATATCAAAGTCTTACCATACAAAACCCACAATTTTCATAAAGTTCAGGTGGTTCATGCTATCAGCAAAATAGTTTATCACCTTTATTCAAACAGTGAATTCCTTATACCAAGTTTAACTGCAAACCTGTGCATATATCTTGAATTAAGCTCCACTGAACATGGATAAACTTCTGCAAAAACATGCATAGGATTGCAGTGTAAGTAAACTATTAGCTCAAATTATTTTTGTTCTTATTTAGCAAATTAAATGTTGTTTCTAAAATGCTGAGTATGCTCCTAAAACTAAATGCAAATACCCCTCCCCAGCATTTCCTGCAAAAGATGGCAAAAGCTACACAAATAGATTGTTTGGCACACAGTCTAAATACTTGATGCTCCAAAGCAAGAAATATATGTTAAGAACATATCTTTGGAGACTCCACACACTATTTACATACTCCTAGTATTTTACAACTGAAACCTAGAACCATATATTACTATTTTGTTCAAAAAACTATAAGCCTGACTTAACACTGCTATACTGAAAAAGGGTCCCACTAGTTCAACACAAGTAAATTAACACAAATTGTTCACTTCCTAATTGTGGCTGTGGTGGTTTGCATTATCAGTCTTAACCAAACAGTGCACTGATATGGAAAGCATCTTGTCATCCCTATGTATGTAAAAGGATACCACCATCAGCTGACACAAAAAAATCTATGTTCATGTGTACATTGACCACACCCCCTGCAGTGAATTTATATAAATGAGAGCTAAATCTTCTGTTATCTCCAAAACATACTGTTCAACTCAAAAGATCACAATCTACAGCTATGCATCATTATACCTAATATCTCTGATTATCTAAGTTTGGGATTCAAATCACATCATCTGTTTAGAAGTTCATTATTGCCTTGGCATGAAAGGGTTAAGGAAATAAAGTATTTTTAAAAAATCTTATTTGAAACTTATGTACTTAGCTTGGTAGGGCATAACACCCCACAGATGCAAATCAAGGATGAGCACAATAGTATAATTCCAAATGAACACTGATGTTAATCTTTGCAGTCATAATTTGCTGCATATGAAACCCAATGGTCTACATGACATCATCGTTTATAAGCAACCAACTACTGAGCCAAACTTTTTACTCAAAAGCATACAACACAAAAGCCTATTAACTATCTATCTCCAATTCTTCCCTATCTACAGCCAAAAAGTGAGCACTATATAAGCTGACCTTAAGTGTGCTTTTTCTATACCACCAGAAGCAACATTTTTCAGAAAACAAAGGCATTATTTAAAACCCAGATCTCTGTCAATGTGACCAAAAAAATCTTAATACACAGCCCGGAGAGCTTTGGCTGTGGAGTGACAGAGAAACGAAATAAATAAAAATATGATTGTCACTGTAAACATTTTCAAGCCAAGTAATATAGAAAACTACTAAAACAAATATACTCGATAATCGCTGCAGGATTCTGATGCAACAGCTGTACGTGCAGTACTGATTTCCACTTGAATTTCATCTCTACCTTTTACTGCCAGGCCTAGGCCTAAGCCTGCCAGATTCTCATTTCTCTAAATCGGAGGGGCGGGAGAAAGGAGAAATGGCAAAAGCTTTTCTACCAGAATCAGGTACCTAGCGGGGGTCGAGAGAAGAAAAGGCACACGGACACCCAGGATACTACTTCGACCGATATAGGCGTTCCACCTCCCCCAGCCAAAAAACAAACGAACAAAACCCGAGGATAAAGAAAGGCGTCCTGGAGCCTGTCAGGCCTGCACAAAATCTGGGATACAGGTCAGATCTAAATCGAAGCCATCCTCCTGGTATCGCCTTTTGTTCCTACTGACGATCTCTTTGATGATGGCGGTCATGTCTGGAAGCCGGGAGCCGCTCAGGAACAGCGCGGACAGGCACGGCGGCGGCTGCAGGGCGCAGATGGCTCTAAGCCTTGGTGGAGGAGGCTGCTCCGCTCCTCTCAGCCGAAGAGGAAGGCGACGGCGACCACTACTAACGAGACGGCTGGTGGAGCGCGATGCTGCTACTCCTTCTGGCGTTGGGAGAACGGCACCGGGTGCAAGGCCTGCCGCTGATCGCGGCTGCTGCGGCAGCGGTGGCAATTCCGGCGAAGGCCCCGCAGTGGCAGAAGGGGCCTGCTCTGAAGGCGGTGGCAAGGAAAGTCTTCCTGCTGCTGCAGCTCCCGCCACTGGCGCGGCTCTCCTCTGCTTTTGCAGGCAATACCTGGAGCGCGGTGGCTGGGAAGAAATCGAGCCCCGGGTTTCCTCAGCAGTAGTGGTGCTGCTGCCGCTGCCAGGCGAAGAGAAAAAGGAACAAGCGCCGCCGCCGCCGCCTTCGAGGATGCCTCTCTCGCTCGAGCGGCGGCGCTCCAGGAGAAACGGTGACAGCAGTTCCGCGGCCGCGGCGGGGCTCCCCCCCCGCCGCCCTCCGCACCCCTCACGAAGGGGGGGCCGGGCGGGGGGGTGCGCAGGTCTGTCGGTCGGCTTGGGCTCGGCGAAAGGCGGCCGACTTGAAAGTTTGCCTCGGCTACTCGACTCTTGGGATCGCTTCTCTCCAGGGAGAAGAGGAATTGGGAGAATAAAAAGGTGGCCGGGCCTGAAGAGAAGGCGCCGCGCGAAGGGTGGGGGGAAGAGAGGGTAGGAAAAGAGAGAGGAAGAGGCTCAGGTCCTGAGGGGCGCGAGGGGCTGAAAGCTGCCCCGTGTCATCTCGCGCTCCCTCTGGCTCTGGCGCGTCCGTTCGTTACTTCCCGCAATCAGCTCAGCGCGCTCCCTCCTCTTCTCACGGCCACCCCCCCCGCTTCCCCCTCCGTGTCAGTCCGCTCGATGGTTCGCCGTTGGGCTGTGCCTCGGAGCCCCAGCGCCAACCGCCTGAGCTTCAAATTGCCATCATGGCTGCAGCTTTCGAGAGAGCGGGGAGAACGAGGGGAAGGGAGGGGGAGGGGAGAACGAGGGTATTGCACCGAAAGGAGGAGGAGGAAGGCAGGGAAGGGAAGGGAGAAGTCAGTTCTCTGACGCCACTATTCGTCGGTTTCCTCCGCCGCTGCTGCCCGAAAAAGTAGTCCTCCACCACCACATCACCGCCTCCTCCATCCGCAGCTCCAGCAAACTTGCTGTACGTCTGGACAACTTCCCGCACTCTCTTCGTTAAAGCCGCTGGACAAGGAGTAGTTCCGTCTTCTTGTAGGGCAGAGGCTGTCGAGGACAGGCTATCAGAGGGAGGGGGAAGGGGGGGAATGAGAGAGCGCGCACGTTGAAAGTGGCGGAAGGGTACAAGAAGCGATAGTCTCATCTCAATGACGGGCTAATTCCCTGAGGAGTCACGTGACAGGCGCTGGGCGGGGCGGGGGCTTGGAGGGCTTCCCGCTTCCCGGTCTTCCTAACCACCGCCACCCTCTTGTAGCGGCGAATTTTAGTGGTCAGGCTTTGTACCTGGTCCGGGGATGGAGGGATAGAAGGCGAAAAAAGCGGACGCTACCATTTCTGTTACTGAAAATCTGGGCCCTGCAGCTTGGGCAGCTGTGGTTATCAACTGACCGAATCACAAGGCCTGGCCTGGTCTTGTGACGCTTTACAGCAGCTTCATTTCCAGAAATCAGCAGGTGCAGCCTTGTAGCGGCATAGAAATAAACATTATCGCTTGATAACATCTGCATTTTGTAAAGTTGGTAAACTTAGTTTTAAACTGGGTCTGATGAGAGGGCAAGTGTCCTAATTTCTTTAGCCTTCGTAGGAGGGAAGTGGTTAAAGCCTAAACAATTGAGAGAAGGGGGGCAAAATTTCCGCCTTGGTGCTTTTACTTTTTAGTGTGTGTGTGTGTGGGGGGGGGTTAAAGTGCAAAACAGGGCGTTGGATCTCCGCAGTGTGGCTGCATTGCATGGAGGCTGCACAACCCTGGCATCCTGTGCAGGGCTGGGCTTCTAAAGCGGGGTGGGGGAGAAGCATTTCTCCGCCGTAGACACCTGTAAACTTGAAAGGGAAGGGCTGCCTTTCGTGGCTTTGTGTGCTGGGCTGCTGATGTCACTTGGTGCTCCAGAACTGACAGCAAAGCCTTCCTGGCCAGCAATTGGCTGCAGCGAAGGAGGAAATTGGAGAGGCGGAGTGCGAGGCGAGGTCCTATCCCGGGGAAGCGGTGGGAGGAGTGCAAGGAACAGCCCAAGAGCGCGGTGGCCCCCAGGTGGCCGCAACACGGCTCCGATTGCTTCCCGTCGGAGCGTCGCACGGAGCAGCGAGGGATTGATGCGGCTGCCGCCGGAGCTGCTGCGCCACCTGTCGCCTCGGAAGAGGAAGGAAAGCGGGCGTGCGCCCTGAACCCTTCTCGGCATTCTCAAGGCCACCGGCCCGGAGAGCCCCACCCAGCCCTTGCTTGGGCACCGGAGCTGCACGTCCGAAAGGCGTGCGCCAGGCCTTCGGGGGCGGGGGGGGGGGGCGGCGGCTGCGAAAGCGCTCTAAGTCAGATGCCAGGGAAGAGAGACGGAGCAAGCCGACGCTCTTGTGTTTTCCCAGTCTTAAGGCTGTTCTGCATCGTGAGGTCCAGAACCGTCCGTTAAAAGTACTTAACCCCGAATTCCATTATTATTTTGTCAGATTTTACATGCCGGACTGTGCGGGGACAGAGATGCCATTGGACGGTAATGAACTGGCGTGGCCTGCTCATGTCTTCAGAACAGCGCGTCTCTTAGCATACTGTGCATCAGTTGCAGTCTCTCACCCCTCCACCCGCCTGTCATGTCTATAAAAACTGTTTTTTTAGTTGATCTTGCTTTGCCATCTCCTCTTGCGAGGACAGATGGAAAGAATTCATTAACTTCTCTGCAGTATGCCTGTCTTAAGTGGCTTTCTCACGCCTTGATGCTCTGGTGGCTTGACTGGTTCTCTGACAATTTTCCTGCCTCAAGCTAATTGTTACGAATTTATCTTTAAATAGTAGGAATGGATTTTTGGACCAATCACATGCACCACTGAATGTTTCCTTCCCCTGTGGAAGCTCCCCCACAAAACCACCCAAAGTTTACACTTTCCCATTTTTTAGAAGTGTTTTAGTACCATTAAAGGGCCTCACAGAGCAGTTTATCACACCACACTTTATATCATAGCGATAGTTATTTTTCTTTCTCCAAAAGATGAAGAATGGAATGTAAATATATAATAATGGTTATCTCCTCACAGCTGACCATTATTTGTTATATCACCGCCACTTGTTCTTGTTGTTAGTCGCAAAGTCGTGTCCGACCCATCGCGACCCCATGGACAACACTCCTCCAGGCCTTCCTGTCCTCCACCATCCCCCGGAGTCCACTCAAGCTCACACCAACTGCTTCAGTGACTCCATCCAGCCACCTCATTCTCTGCCGTCCCCTTCTTCTTTTGCCATCTATTGTTCCCAGCATTAGGCTCTTCTCCAGGGAGTCCTTCTCATTAGGTGGCCAAAGTATTTGAGTTTCATCTTCAGCATCTGGCCTTCTAAAGAGCAGAGTTGATCTCCTCTAGGACCGACTGGTTTTATCGCCTTGCAGTCCAAGGTACTTGCAGGAGTCTCCTCCAGCACCATAATTCAAAGGCCTCAATCCTTGGATGTTCAGCCTTCCTTATGGTCCAGCTTTCACAGCCATACATTGCAACTAGGAAAACCATAGCCTTGACTATACGCACTTTTAATGGCAGGGTGATGTCTCTGCTTTTTAGAATGCTGTCTAGATTTGCCATAGCTTTCCTCCCCAGGAGCAAGCGTTTTTTAATTTTCACCATCTATGGTGATCTTGGAGACTAGGAAAATAAAATCTGTCACTACCTCCATTTCTTCCCCATCTACTGGCCAGGAAGTGAGAGGACCAGATGCCATGATCTTAGTTTTCTTAATGTTGAGTTTCAAGCCAACTTTGCACTCTCTTCCTTCACCCTCATCAGAGGCTCTTTAGCTCCTCTTCACTTTTTGCCATTAGAATGGTATCATCTGCATATCTGAGGCTGTTGATATTTCTCCCAGCAATCTTAATTCCAACTTGTAATTCATCTAGCCCCACCTTTCTCATGATGTGCTCTGCATGTAAGTTAAATAGGCAGGGCGACTGTATACAACCCTGCCAAACGCCTTTCTCAATTTTGAACCAATCAGTGGTTCCATGTCCAGTTCTCACTGCTGCTTCTTGACCCGCATACAGGTTTCTCAAGAGACAAGTAAGATGGTCTGGTACTCCCATCTCTTTAAGAACTTGCCACAATTTGTTGTGATCCACACAATCAAAGGCTTTAGCATAGTGAATGAAGCAGATGTTTTTCTGGAACTCCCTAGCATTCTCCATGATCCAGCACATGTTGGCAATTTGATCTCTAGTTCCCTTCCCTCTTCCAAATCCTGCCTGTACTTCTGGTAGTTCTCGGTCCACATACTGCTGGAGCCTAGCTTGCAGGATTTTGAACATTATTTGGCATTGCCCTTCTTTGGAATGGGAATGTAAACTGACCTTTTCCAATTCTGCGGCCACTGTTAAGTTTTCCAAATTTGCTGGCATATTGAGTATAACACTTTTACTGCATTGTCTTTTATGAATAGCTCAGCTGGAATACTGTCACCTCCACTAGCTTTGTTGTTGTTCAGACTTCCTAAGGCCCATTTGACTTCACATTCCAGGATGTCTGGCTTGAGGTCAGTGACCATCCCATCGTGGTTATCAGGGACGTTAAGCTCTTTCTTACATAGTTTTTCCATGTAATCTTGCCACCTCTTCTTAATCTCTTCTGCCTCTGTTAGGTCCCTGCCATTTTGGTCCTTTATCATGTCCATCTTTCCATGAAACGTTCCCTTCATATCTCCAATTTTTGTGAAGGTCCTCCGTATTCTATTGTTTTCTTCAATTTCTTTGCACTGTTCATTTAAGAAGGCATTCTTATCTCTTCTAGCTATTCTCTGGAATTCTGCATTCAACTGGGTGTATCTTTCTCCCTTGCCTTTCGCTTCCCTTCTTTCCTCAGCTATTTGTAAAGCTTCCTCAGGCAGCCATTTTGCTTTCTTGCATTTCTTTTTCTTTGGGATGGTTTTAGTTGCTAGCTCTTGTACAATGTTGCGAACCTCCGTCCATAGTTCTTCAGGCACTCTATCAGATCTAATTCCTTAAATCTATTTGTCACCTCTACAGTATATATCACCTCCACTAACTGCTGTCATATGCAAAGCTCCAAGGGAACTACTCCAAGGGTGGGGGAGTAGAATGTTCCTGCTTTACTAGGTTAAATATTAGGGCCAAACTTGTCCCTCACTGAACAGGGGCTAGACTCAATAGCCCTCTGACCCCTTCCAGCTCAACTATTCTATGATTTTATTATTAGTTGGCAGCCTAAATAAACTCCCCGGTGCCTCAGCTAATCAATGCCTACTGTGACCTTTTCCTGAAGGAAATTCCTATTATTCAGTCTTTTTCTGTATGTATTCGCTCAGGTCACAGATTCATAAAATAGTAGGGCTGGAAGGGGCCAAAAAGGCCATTAGGTCCAATCCCTTGCTGGTGCAGGACACCAAGTCGCACCATCCCACTCAGATGATTGTCCAGTTTCACCTTGAATGTCTCTAGTGTGGGAGAGCCCACAACCTCTCTTGGCAAGTCATTCCACTGTCATATTGCTGGCAGTTTTTCCTGATGCCTAGCCTTAATCTGGTACGT